TATATTATATCAATTATTTTATATTATTGAATTTGATTGTATCATAATTATCAATTATCATGGGAAAAAATTCGTACGTTATCGATATTAACGATTCGATTCGTATTTCGATATTAAGAAAATTTTCTATTAAAAGATAAAAATAAAATTACCGGTCACCGCGAATAATTGAAATGTTCCAGTGTGATTTCTTTATTTTTTACACGAGAGATTTCTTTTTTATCGACATTTCGTTACTTTCAATATAGAGAATTTTTTTTTTTTTGCATCTACACGTAATGTTCGCAATGAGATAGTTTATTTAATTTATTGCCAATTAAATCTGTGAAACGATCGTTTCCCTCCTGAAAATGGGAAACAACTCAAGAACTGTTCTTGCTTTTTTCTTTTTTTTTTCGTCTGTCGGGGACGTTTGGAAGTTCGAAGCATTTAACAATAAGAGGGGGCAATATATTCTTGTTGTCTGCCAGTTGACAACATCGAGGAAAGCACAAAGTAAGAGTGTAATACGCGGCACACGATCGTAACACAGCGGCAAACGAGGAAAGTTCGCGACGAAATACTTTTCGGCAGTGCATCAACCGGAAGACGCCGGCGTGCCTTCATTTTCTTAGCGATGAAAGTTCGATTCTCCCTTTCTCTCACATTTGAGGCGACTTCGACCGAGACACGCTCGTTACAGCGAATAAAACATTGTACAGGGTGATCCGCGTAACTCGCACGCCTGAAGTAACTTTCGAATTATACTTCTAGTGACGAATTATTTAATACAAAAGTTGCGTGGTTTCAAGGGAGGCGGAACATGGCGTATCAATTTTTTACGTGCGTTGAGGGGTTTTGAAATTTCCAAAGTAATCTTTATTTTTTTTTTCAATCGAACCATAAAATAAAATGAAAAGAAAAAAAACGATTTAAAATTGAATTATTAATAGAAAATCCTTCTCATACTCATTCAACAATTATTTGTCCAATATAAGGCGATGCTGATAATAAATTAGTAATTACTAATAGCTCCTCTACTATAGCTCCTTGACTATAGTCATTACTATAGCAAATGATATTTGTCCTCATGGTAAAACATATCCTAAAAATGCAGTTGCCATTGATAGAAATAAAATTATTCTACCAGTTAATCAAACATAATCAAGTTTAAATGAATAATAAAATAAATTTCGTCTAATATAAATTGATAGAAAATAAAATGACGCTCCATTCATACGAATTAAACGAATTAATCAAAAGAATATTAAATTACAAATAAAAGAGTATCGAGTCCCTAAACTTAATGGATAATTCGTCTCGAGGTTGGAAGAAAAAGAAAAACCTATACGATTCTAACGTCGATCTTTGGAATGTTATTAATTTATCAAACCGTTTATTAATCGGGAGAAAATCGAGATTCCCTTCGTCGAGGAGAATTTCTCCGACTTTCCTCTTTTCATCCCCCTTCGCTAATTATACCTTGATCATTAGCTTTGAGATCCCCGATCCCCCCTCCGTGTTTCCTTATTTTTAATTTCCTTTCCTCGCTGCTTGTTCCAGCCTCTTCCTCGTTATCTTTTTTTCCGTTTATCAAGACGCCCGGAGGAATATTACAACTCGTCTCGCATCGCGCCCGAGGAACCTCGCGTTAGTAATTTCACCCCTTTGGTAAATTCCAACCTTATTCCTATCTTTTCTTTTTTTTTTCTGCTTTTTTTCTTCGTTCTTTCTAACGGACACTTGTTTCTTGTTTCGTTTGAAACGCGTGCATTGGCGTCTAACGAATTTCACCGTTACGAGGTCGTTAGACGATGGATAGAAATTCGAAATCCCTCTTGCCGTTCAATCCATTGTCTCTCCAACTCTATCTCCCCGAACCAACCACCTTCCCATCGAGCTACGACCACCGAGCGAAACACACGTCGAGGATAGGCAGACATCGGTGCCTATCCAGCACGAATCGATGCCTCTGAATCAGCGACTCGTCCCGTTGGGCCGGGTATATATTGTCGTAATATTTCGGGAAACGGTGCTCCATAGATCCGTTGGCAATCTCGCCCCCGAAGATGGCATATCCGCGGAGGTGAATCGCCTCTTGCCGAGGAAATCCGAGGTAATTGAATGCTAACCCCTCCATCTCTTCTCTTCCTCTTCGCCCTTCTCGCCACCCACAATCCACCCTCTCTCGGTATCATCCAGAGGGGAGGGCGGGGGGGGAGGGAGGCGAGAGACTGGGTGGCCAGAGAGGGGGAAGTGGTGGTGGCCAGGAGGGCGAACGTGCTCATCCCCGTGGCCATCACTCACCGACGCAGACTTGTAGCTTTCAATAAAAATGTAAATATGGCGGCGTAGAACGAGCCAATGACAGCGCTACATCGACGAGGCCGCGACACACGGGAAAGCTCGGCTGGTTGTGGAGGGTTGGTTGCGAGAAACGAGAGCGGGAAGAAAGAGAAAGAAAGACAGAGAGAGAGAGAGAGAGAGAGAGAGAGAGAGAGAGAGAGAGAGAGAGAGAAAAGGATCTAGACAAGAGGAAGAGAGAACGGTGAAGGAAGAGAGATTTAAACGAGAGCGAGAAGAACAGGGAAGAAAGAGGGAAAGAGCGAAAGATCTGGACGGGAGCGAGAGGGTGAAGAGAAAGAGCAACGAGGGAGGAAGAGGAGGAGGAGGAGGAGGAGGAGGAGGAGGGGGTGGTTGGCTAAAGAGGGAAACGCAGCGAGCCAGCGACGAGGGTCGAAGATGGCGAACCTGGAGGAGCGACACGATGTAGGAGGCTTCGAGTGTGCCAGGAGAGTTCTCTTCCTCGAACTGGAAGCTACGAGTAGTACAGATGTAGCACTGAAGAGGCGGGAGTAAAAGTGGAGGCTTCCACCTCCCTCTTGGAGAGTCGTGCAAGAAGAGGAGGAGATGCAGGGTGGTTGTAGGTCCTCCTCCTCCTTCTGGATATGGGAGATAGGTAATAGGGGGTTTTCAAGGGGGTAGGGAGTGGTGGTAACCGGCGAGTAGAGAGTGAGGGTTCGAAAAGATGGAGAGAAAGAGAGAAAGAGAGAGAGAGAGAGAGAGAGAGATACGCTGGATGAAAAAAGAGAGTCGGAGGGGTGGGATGTGACGCTGTCGTCAGGAGCTTTCAACGTTTCTCCTCGTTTCTCTTACGAGGGGGTAGTGTTTCATAGGGTTTCCAGCGGCGGGGGAGGAGACAGAAGGGAGAGAATGACGCAGGTGCCGCAAAGCTTGACACGTCTCCGGCTGTTTTGTCACCTTCTTTTCATCCTTCGAACTTTTTACAAGCTGCCTCGTTAGAAGCTTGCTCGCGGCGTTGATGGAGTAAGCCGCCGGCGGACAAATGCGTTTTAAAATTACGACCGACCCTCTCTCCACTCTACCCGGGGGCTGCTGTCGAGAGAACGACGAAAACTGACGCCTTGTTGGCGCGGTCCCATCCGCGATGATACGGTGACGTCGTTCGCGGATCGTTGGATCGGGGGCGATTTCGATTTTCGATCTCTCTCGTTTGTCGGTTCCTTTTTTGATTTTTATAGCGCGATCCTTTGACTGCATGGTATGCAACGTATAGTTTATCACTAATGTCGCTGTCGACTCGTGTCTTTTGCCTTGGTTCAAATTTCAGTCAGAGGCTCAAAATAGTTATTACCGTATTTTACTGATCTTTCACTCTCTACGGTCGTCTGTACAATAATCATAATTTTAACAAATAACTTGCTATCATTTGTCACGTCCAGATTAATTAATACATTCAAATTGGCTGTTGTAAAATCAGTCGCGATAAATCGGGAGAAGGAGGGGAAAAAAGAAAGGAAAGATCAAGAAGAGCAAAGAAAAAAAAAAAAAAAAAAAAAAAAAAGATCGTGAAGGAATGAAATAATAATTTGGAAGTGACCGCTGGTGGATATTCACTTGTCGCGGGATGGATCGCGATCGAAGCGGCAAAAAGTCGCCGCCGGTCATTAAAACGGATGATTTTTCGAGGTTGTAATCCGCGCTTAAACGTTTAAGCCGACAAGGAAATATTAAACGATGGCGGCCGTTAAAAACACCGGGCAGTTTAAGTTGATTTTACTTTTTATCGCGACGTAGCAAACCCCCGTTACCTCCAAACCCCCCTCCCCCCTCCCCCCTCCCTCCCCGTTCGTTTCATCATTCACGGATTAATATCGGAACCGAGCCAAGCTCGAAAACGCTTCAACTGTTATGAATTTTTATTAACCCATCTACATCTGTTACTCATAATTAGCCGGGCGCCCGCTTAAATCATCCGGACGTTTTTATCGGAGATTAGCGTAAAGTTTATTAAAAGCGACGCGCCACGTTCCTTCGCGTCCGCGTTTCTCTCGATTTTTACCCGACTGCTGCCTCTTTGCACGATCCCGATCGTTCGATTCCTGTTTCGTCGAAATATATTTCTATTCTCAGGAAATTTCATGAATTTGAGAAGGAATGCTCATCAGATTTTTGACAAATTCACTCGTCGTTTCATTGATAAATTGTATTTTTCTGTCTTAAAAAAAATTTGTCAAGTTCGAGGAACCAAGACAGTCCGGTTTAAAGGAACTACAGGGGAAGAGAAGAGAAAATTCAAAACGTATCTGATTTCCATTCGAGAGTCTCCCGATTGATTTTCGAAAACTTGTGTCTGTCGCAAACACGCGAATAAAATCGAATCGTAACGAATTTCAGTGTCACGCCACCTCTTCTACAACGCTCCGCTGTAAAATAGAACTCTGAACGAGAAAACAAGTCAGAAATCGGTCATGTACAGTGATGTGCCATCCCAGTTTGCCGAAAACCGAAACCTAACCGCAACCAATCCGAAGAGACCAAGACCCACGTAAACTCATCGGGAGTCCAGTCGAGACACACTAATAACGATCCTTTAATCGCCCCCCGAAGGAAAACTACCCCTGAAAACGAACGAAGGAGAAAAAAAGTAGCAGAGAGGAGAGAGAAGAGGAGGATAGAGAGAGATAGAGAGAGAGAAGGATCTCTCTGAAGACTCTTACCTTGACTTGCGACTCCGACATGCCGAGGGCGTAGGCCAATTTAGCGCGTTCCGGCCCCGCTAGGTACTTCGTTTGTTCGAAGGTTTTCTCGAGGGCGAAGATTTGCTGGCCGCTGAACGTCGGCCTGGTGTGCTTCTTCTTGCCGCCCTCGTGCTCGCCGGTACCACCGGAGCCTGTCATCGTTTGCTGACAACCCAGCTGTTGCGACACTGTAACATCGATATCTCCCAGGGATTCTCTTCGTCGCTCTAATAACACCCGGCTCGTTCCCTACCCGGCCAGTCGTTATTTCTATTCATCCGTCGGATAAAACGAAGGAGAAAAAGAAGAAGAGGAAGAAGAAGAGGAAGAAGAAGAAGAAGGAGAAAAAAAAGAACGATGTCGGCCACTACGGAGCATCCGGGGCGCGAACATCAGAGAACAGAGATCGTCGCGAATTCTTTTCGAAAGAGAATCAGCAGTCGCTGGCTTTTTTTTCTTTTTCTTTTTTTTGTTTTGTTTTGGACTACGTCTAGTAATCTCTGATTCGCGTGGACTCGAGTTTTGGATAGGTTGACACCGCGGGTCTTTTCGAGTTTGGATCATTTCTCGCGTGGTAACTTTGGCGAGAGAGTGAACTTTGGCAATGTTCCGGACAAATTTGGGCATTTGCTGTCGTTGGAATTTCTGGGCGGATGATGGAAATTTGACAGTAAAAACGCGGAGAACACGGCGCAGTTTGTGTTTCAGTGAGTAACAGTCCAAAGCGGTTCGTCGTGTTGCGAAATTCGACGGGAGTTCGAAATTATAGAGTCGTACGATGGCGTGAATTTTGAGAGAGAGAGAGAGAGAGAGAGAGAGAGAGAGAGAGAGAGACGAGTGAAATTTAGATTTTCCACTTATAGTCGCACATCTTTCGGTAAACGAGAAATTCAGATCGAGATTTAGAATTCTCGAGAGTTTGGAATTTTGTCAGCATTTTGATAACACGACAACGTAAATTGTAGAAGACACGAATTTTGAACAAATTGACTGTCGACTATATTTGGGATTTCGAACGACAATGTAACAATAAGATTTTTTCAATATATTGAGAAATTGAGTTTAAAAATAATTTGGATAAACTATTATCGTTACTATATAGCGATAGTAATTGATGAAAGCATGTATTCTAACGTTGCAAACGATGATAATTTTGATATTGTCCGCGTGACGGTGGAACAGCGAAATTATCACGAGACTTATCGAACCAATCGAAGTCACGGTCAATTTTATCAAGCAATTAATCTTCATCAATTTTGCGTCATTCTTCTTGCCATCGTCCCACGCGTTACGCGTCCGACGATTTACATACATAGGCTATCGATAATTACGTCATAAATTTACATCTCGTTACACGCCAAAAATGCTCTGTACGACACATCTATTGAAAACCATCCAATTATTCCACGATAACACGTCCACCGTTGCAACCTTTTGCGGTAGAATATTCAACCCTCGTCACACTTCATTTACCTCGACGACGAGTTAAAAACTCATACTAATCGCAAGAACGCGTGCATTTTCGATAATCGTAGAAATTATACACAGGGCGAGATGTTGCGACAATACGACGACACGATTAAGATACTTTTACGAGTATCGAATTGATAAATAATATTCCCTCCGTTCCAAAATAAGTGTCTCACTTACACGTTATATTTGTTCTGATAATAATATTTGTAAACCATACTTTTTGAAACTCTTCCACACTTCTTACATATGCTAACTTTCAACTGAATTAAACCGTTTGTGGGTTAGAGTCTAACCTATAAACATTTGTAGGTTAGAGTCTAACCTTTAAAAATTTATAGGTTAGAGTCTATCTCCTCGAAAGCCTTTATTTGTATCTGGGCAGCATTTAACAATTGATTCTTTTTTAACCTCCATATAATGAAAAATATAATAATCTCTTTTAATCTAAACATAATGAAACATATAATATAATATTCTCGAAAGTTTCTATTTGTATTTGGCCAGCATTTAACAATTGAGTCCCTTTTAACCTCAATATAATGAAAAATATAATAATCTCTTTTAATCTTAACATAATGAAAAGTATAATACAATATAAATATAAAAAATATAAAATATATAATATAATAAAAATAAAGAAATATAAATTTAATATAATGAAAAGTATAATATAATGTAAATATATAAGTATAAAAAATATAAAATATATAATATAATAAAAATAAAAAAATATAAATTTAATATAATATAATATAATAATGATATATTATATAATATTAATATAATAAAATAATATATAATAAAATATATAATATATAATATAACTTAATATAATAAAAATATATAATATAACATAATAAATAACATGATGTGAACACTTATTTTAGGAATGGAGGGAGTATTAACTTTTATCATCGTCAAAGTAATACAGTGATGGAAGAAAGATTTCCTCCCAAATTTTATTAAAGCCCAAATTTTTCCAAATTGTGCCAAACTTTCAAAATTTTTCTCCTAGCTTCAACTGCATAAACTTTTAATTTTTCTCCGAGTTATTAGAATATTCTTACTTCTTAGTATTAAATATTAAATCGATAAATTAACTTTTCATCGCCATTGATCTCTCTGTTACAAAGAAGAAGATACTGTCTCGTCGTATCAGACTCTCAAAATTTCCCTCCCCGCTTCGGTCATCGAATGTAAAAAAAAAAAAAAAAAAAAAAA